AGTGTACATTCAAAACGAGAAGAACTGCATTCATTGATTGAATCGGCAAATGCTGACATAGTGTTTCTAACAGAGACTTGGTTACGTCCAGTAATAAAAGATATAGAAGTGTTCCAAAAAAACAACAACATGAATTTCGCATTGTTTAGGTGTGATAGAGACGAAAGACGTTCTTATCGCCGCCAAAAACACAGTATCTTGTAATCGGGTAGCAGTGCCGTCATCGTTGAAAATGGTTTGTGTGGTTGCATCATCACGATCTCATCAGGCCTTAGCTGGAGTTGGCGATAGACCGCCAGATTATTCGCATGATTTTGTTACGGAACTTTATGACGCACTTTTTGTTTCTCTCCAAAAAGTTTCCGAGAGCTAGTATGACACTTGTGTGTGATTTCAGTTATCCGCATATTGACTGGCTTTATTTGTCGTCACGATGCGCTACGTCACGTGCATTCATTGACACATGTTTAACCTTCAACTAAGTTCAAATGATAAACCAACCAACTAGGATTCTAGGTTCTTCTTGCAACACCCCTGATCTATGCTTATCGTCTCATCCCAGCGACATCAACAGCATTTCCTACCTTCCGGGGCTGAGTGATCACTTAGTAATACATTTTTCGCTGAACTTCCTACGTCACGAAAGTCTGCATACCATACATAAATCATAGATTCTAACAAAGCAAACCATCACTGCAGGTAATAAACGAGGGCTTAGAATCGTTTTACTGTTCATTTATGTCCACCTTTGACCAGAATTCAATTAATGAGAACTGGGGCCGCTTTAAAAGTATGATGTCTTCAATTTGCAAGTCCTATGTACCACGAGTAAAAATACGATCAGAAGGAGAACGTCAATCCATGGTTCACGAAAATAATTAGTCGTATGAACAACAACAACAAAAAAACGACAATTTAAAAACTCAAAATCATCGCCTTCGAATAACAGCCTTCGGGATAAATGTGGAAGCCATGCAAAGGTATATAAAAATGCCGTCGTACAAGCAAAATTAAAGTTTTTCGAACATCCCTTGAAAAATATTCTTACAAACAACCCCCGAAAAATTTGGAAAATTATAAACCCGACACGTGCGAACGCATTGACGTTCATTGATGACGACGGTGTGAAATTTGAGAATGAAAAAAGAGCACAAAAGCTTAACGCATTTTTAATTCAGTATTCACACATCAGGATCGTGACATCGTAAATAATCTGAACACGTTAGACCATGCGCCAATCAACCTAATCGATATTTCATATCCCGGCATCGTGAAAGCAATTGAAAATCTAAAAATTGCTTCTAGCGCTGGCGATGATTTGATAAACAAAATTTTTTTTAAAAATACAAAGCAAACAGTGGCTGATTACTTGTGTAAAATATTTAGCCAATCATTAAATTCGGGGAGGCTACCGGATGACTGGAATGTAAAAAAAAAAAAAAAATACTGCCGATTCAGAAAACGGGGACCGCAACCTAATAGGCAATTATCACCCCATATCAATCACCAGTGTTCCTTGCAAGCTTCTCGAGCACATCATATAGTCGAACGTAATTAACTACTTGGAATCTAATAACTTGCTATGTTCGAACCAGCATGGGTTCCTCAAAAAACCCAGCTGTTACACTAACCTAGATATCAAACTCCAAACTTGACAATATATTCATCGATTTCTCAAAAGCATCTGATAAAGTACCTAATCAACGCCTCATTCAAAAGCTATCTTGCCTTAAACTTTCTCCAAACATAACAGACTGGACCAGAGAGTTCCCCAGTCATCAGTCATCAATAACAAAATGTCATACAGGTCCTCTGCCACCTCAGGCGTCCCACTGGGAACCGTACTAGGCCCATTATTATTCTTAGCATACATCAATGACATAACAAAGCTTCTATCATCCCCCGTGCGTCTCTTCGCAGACGACAGCGTCATTTAAAGGGCCATCAAAACACCAGATGACCATAGAATACTTCACAATGACCTCAAAATAATTGAACAGTGGTGTAATGTCTGGCAGATGAGCCTAATAATGGAAAAGTGAAAGTAACTAACAGTCACTCGTCGAACCACCTCGTCTAACTTTTCATACCAGCTAGGTATCAATAACATTCGTCACTGCACATCATATAAGTACCTAGGACTTTACCTCACCAGCGGTATCACATGGAACAACCACGTTAACGAAGTTGTCCTAAAAGCTAACCGCACACTTGGATACTTAAAACATAACCTCAGACTCCGTTCGCCCGAAATTTAAAGGCTAGCCTACACAACCCTGGTTGGTTCACAAATGGAATACCCATCATCGATTTGGTCACCATTTAAAAATTATCTCTCTAACAAAATAGAAAAAATTCAAAACAGAGCACTAAGGCACATTCACTCCGACTACTCCTCCTACACAAGTATCACTTCACTTCGTAATCGGTCTGATCTCCAAACACTTTCTCTTCGTCGAAGGCTCTCCCGACTTGCCCTTCTTCATAATATATATTATCACAATCCGCAGATGAAAATGGCCTTTCTCAGCGCTTCAGATCGAATTTCCGCAAGGGTTGAAAATGTCTGTGAAATCAAATTTATCCGCACTTCATCCTTGTTTTTCACAAATTCCATGCTACCTATTCCTATTGATGATTAGAATTCATTACCCAAGGACATTGTACTAGAAATTAACATATCTAAGTTTTGTGAACTTGTCAGTGTTTTTTTGTTTTTTTTTAGGAAATGAACGAGTTATAAATTTGTACTGTGATTGGTTAACTTGTTATTGTCATCTAACATTTGCACCATGTTTTTGTGATTTTTACTTTTGTGTTCAAACAAGTGTCTTTTAATTTACCTACCCTTGTGTAATACCGGGACTCGGATCCTCAAGGTAAATAAATGAAATGAAATGAAAATCTGTCACAGACAAGAAAAGAGTTTGCGTACCCTCTGGGACTGCACGTAGTCTTACGCCTGCTTTGGTTGCCGCTGATCCTAAACTGGGTACAATTCAACAAGATGGCTGCCTACATACGACAATAAACCTAGCGGCCTGAATACATCTATATGTTCATAGAAAAAAACTCGATGGTTAGCCAAATTAGTGCAACGAATCCGACATGTGACTCCGGGATTTGCACGTATGTGTCTTGCGTGTGCAGGCGCATGTGGTGCCGTTGTGGTGTACCGTAATTTCCTTAAATGTGGTGAATCTAAATTGGACTGGGTAAACTGCAAATGGTTTAAGTACTCGTATTTCTTTTTTTATCGGAGAGAGAGAGGGGGGGGGGGGGGGGGGGTCTCGGTGCAAAGCTTTGATTCCGTTCATTTTTTGTTATCCCACAATCTCGGTAACTCAAGTCAAGTTAAGTTGCAGCGTTCTGAACGGAAAAGTGCAATACAGTAAAACCCCTCATTATACCAGAAGCGACCGGTTGTTCAGTAATAGTAAAAGATAAAGTGCAAAAGTTTCTTAACCTTCTCTAGAAAGCAGACTTCGGCGATTACAGCGTGGGTGTACACAGTAGCTTCTATGCGGTCGCACGAGCCTTGACTTCTTGCAAGCGCTTTTCTGCACATTGATGTATAAGAAAAACAGCCTTAGCTCTATATTTTTCATACAATGTCGATCGGATTCTACTCGAATTTAATTATAAGCTTAATGGCAGGTAGCGTTTGGTACGACTAATCTTCACAGTTTCGATTTGCTATTGCCATACCTACAACTGAATCAACGAGCATCAATCACATTTATACCGAGATACCAGCTCGAAATTCTGATCACACATCAGTAGTCGACTATAAATCAGGGCTGTGTAGAAATGTATAAAACTCCGAGCCTGCGTTTTGTAACCCGATCGTGCTACTAAATTATGCGAGCGATCGACAAATAAGAGACATGATACTTGTTAGCCTCCTCAAGGCATTTGGATAAGCCATAGCAAGAACGTCAGCGTGATCCTTTCAATATACCGCATTGCCTGAAGCAAACTCAGTGTCAGAAATCCCGTGAAGAAACGAATTCCTCTTTCTCTCTCCCGAGTCCGCCGATGACTGGATTGTATGAATGCAGAGTCGTGTATAGAGATAGTTTGGTCAATAGGAGGCGCAAGCAGAGCCAGGGCCTGCACCCGACGCAGAAAGAGGGCTTGACATTCTCTCTTGGCCAACCAGAAGCCGGAAAGAAAACCTAGCAGTGGTAGCGAGAAGCAGTCTTAATCGTTTTAGTAAGCGCGTAAGAGTTAGACTAAGAAACCCTACGTGGTTGAAAACAGGGTGCACGTGATGTTTCGATCATGATCATGCAGAAAGATGTAAGAAACGAAAGTGTCGTTCAACTCTTTTTGCTTGGACAGTGTGTGACCAATCGGACGGAAGATTCCCGGCCCTCGGCGCTTGGCGTACGGATTATGTCGATCGTTACACTAGTCACGCTCTTGCACCATGATTTTGGATGACCGTAATTGAAACATCACGTGCACCCTATTTTCAGTCACCGAGAGTTACTCCGACGCATTTATTAAGTTTGTTTCTCGCGACAACCGCCAGGGTATTATCTCCGGCTTCTGGTTGGCCACATTCGAATGTGTGAAGAGGCCCTGGAACACGCGCAGCCCGTTTTCAGCCAATGGCGCCTTCTCATTTGTCTCCTATACATCCCAACAAATGGCGAAACTTTCTACGCATACGACTCTAGATGAATGGATACGGCTGAACCCTTTTAATTTGGTGGCGGCTTGCGCCACCTAGAAACTGTGCGCCAAAACTGTACTATTTGGAGATGCTCCTGCGAAGCGTTATCCAGACGCTGTATGTCTTCAAAACATTTGTATTCATGGAGTTACTATAACAGCCGTCTCTATAGCCACGGTGGTGCTTCGAACGACGGGAGGACGGGGCGTCGGGAGTGGTGGTGGGAGGGTTGGGGGAGTGTGCAGAAGCGTAGAAGCACCGTCTGTGGACAGTTCCGCAACTGAGGTCATTTAGTAGCATTGCTCGAATCTGAACGTACCTCGAGGGTGTAGTGACCCGGTCTGAGGATCCTCCAATACTCTCCCCTGGACGTTGTTCTGAAGCCGATGCTACGGTTGGAGATCTTTAGGGACGCATTGGCCACGGCGTTGTTCTCTTCATCTGTCACAATGCCACGGACGCCTAGAAAATTGCGGACAGATGTCTAAGGCGCGAGACGTATATGCACAACGCGTAGCACGGCCCGCCAGAGTTTACAACATGGGCTGTGGACGCAAAATTATAAAAGGACGATAAAGCGTTTTGCGGTTTTACTGTGAGAGCATTTTAACAGGATCCTAACTTTATAAAGTGAGACTCTGCGCACACCAGCTCGGAGCACGTGGAGCGAAAGCTCGCGCTGCAGAATCCAGGGATCCTGGGTTCGAGCCCCACCCCTGCCCGTTTCGATCTGGATGAGCATCGTACCGGCGTGCGGTCGTGTATCACTACTGCGTGATGCTCGTTAAAGACCCCAGGCTAGCGGCTGTACCGCACTGGCTAAATTTCTCATCTACAGCTGGGAGACTCGTCGCCCCTGTGAGGCAGACCAAGTTCTAGGCTGTATAAACACACACACAACCCAATTTTTTTTTTAAGTGAGACTCATCATTGCACAACAACACAGTTAATGTTCAGAAACACGAATACTCTCACCATATGTTGAACCTTCGTGTGATTTGAGCGCGTTGGTTTTTTGCTTGTTACTATACCGTTTTAAAAGAATTTGCGCATAACCCTTGCGCCCCACAAAAAAAAAAAGTTATATGTTTTGCGTTAAAGAACGAGTATTTTCTGGACGCCATATTTGAGTACGCTGTTCACTGTGTATGCCCAGAACAAGCGCACCCTTGTAGGCTACCAAGAGTGATAAACATAATGATGTAAAATCCAAGTTGCAAAAAATAACATAAAAATAAGAAACCGTGGCCACTCACCGACAGCAGCCATGGACTCAGTCATGGCCGCTAGAATAGTGAACACCCCCAAAGGAGTCATGCTGCCCATCTTTACGGCTATAATGACTTTGTATTGCCGCGCACGCAGCTGATCAAGTAGGCAGCGGATTCTGCTTCTGCGCTCGCACGAGACGTTGCAGGGTAACTAGCTCCGATGGAGCGGCGATAGCGGCCCTTGCCGGCCGTGGTTCCTTGTCTTTTGCTGGCACTACTTCGTAAGAATACAAGATTGTTCTGCCTTCTGTACCCACTGGGCAAACATGTTGTTACTTCTTCACTGTGACCTCAAGGGGCGTCCGTATCGGACAGGAGACTTTCGCCAGGAACTAAAGCGAATCGCAGTGTTGTCTGATATTGCCTCGTTAGGCGCATATCAGATGAACCATGTTTGGATGTCCACGCTTCGGATGCCCGACGCCAAGCAACGACTGTTGAAAGCGAATGAACTGAGAGTGAAACGTCTGCGGTGTGTCATAATAGGCACGTGTTCCACCGAAGTGCGCCTTCGGGTGCACTGGGTTCCCTTACACGTCCCCGACGACGCGGTGAGTAAACGTTTCGAGCATTATGGCAAAGTTATCGAAGTCTCCCGCGAGAAGTGGCGCGTCGAGGGATTCGAGGCCATCGAATTGACCACGCGCATCGTCCGTATGACGCTGAGGAACGGCGTCACGCCCGTCAGTTTACCGCACCAGCGGAGGCTCCACGGAGGCAATGTCCTCGTTGTCGTCCCAAGGCGCGCGCCGGTCTGTCTGCGTTGTAACCGGGTTAGGCACATCAGACGCAACTGCCGTGTACCGAAGTGCTCGGAGTGCAACCGCTTCGGACACGACAAGAAATAGTGCGTCAAGACGTACGCCCGTGTCACCGGCGAAACTGAGAAGGACGAGGTGTCGCCGCTGACCATGGAGGTTGAAGAGGCAGAGCTGGCTCTCCGAGGACTGCAGCGCGACGTCCAACCGCAACAGGGGCTTCCAGGCGGAGACGGTGCCTCACCGCAGGTCACCACGGCAGACGTCAAAAAGTCTACACTTGCCGTCTCTGTGCAACGCCCTGGTACGTCCACTCCTGAGATGACGTCGACCGAGGCCGTTGCGGTCCTATCTTGTCCCCCGCCGGCTGAGAGGGCTCTTGAAGGCGGCCTCGTCATGGACGAGACTAAAGCCTGGAGGACAGGCCCTTAGCACCCGGCACGACGCCCGACCCCAACCCTTAATTGGATGGGGATAGAAAAGAACAGGAGAGGACGTGTTAAAGGGGCGGTACAACGATATTCAATCGGAATGTTTTTCCCTTTACACGAGCTTACTGGCACTAGTGGGACTCAAGGATATTCACACGCAACGCCACTGACCAAGAAACTACTTTGTTGCGGTGTAATTTCGAGGACAAAACCGAGTGTCTCCATTCAATCTCTCCTTCGCAAAACCTGAGGACGTAACTGGGCGGTAGCAGTACCGCCCAGTGACGATATTTGAATGCGGCTCATAGATTGGATCCGAGCATGGCGTGGACACTCGATTTGGGCTCGTGCTAATCGATAGCTCGAGAAGCATTCGGGTAGTGTCCTGTGCCCAATCGCTGCAATGACGACAACAGCCAAACTATAGCAATATCTGGAACTCAGCGCGTGTCCTGTGCCTTGCCAACCCCCGCGCATGGCTATGATCAACATTGGAGGCATATAATCGCCTCCAGATCACGTGACCACTAGTTCTGGCTGCGAGTTGAGGGGGTGAACTCTGCTAATTTTTCTTTATTTTTTTCTTCGACTTCGATTGCGTGTGGTGAAAAACGAACGAGTATTTCACAGGTCAATAACGTCAGGGATCCGTTCTAAGCGGTATTTGCGCAAAATACAAAAATAGTTGCATCGCCCCTTTAAGGCGGTGCCTTATAAGCTCCCGGATGGAAGGCCGAGCCGTGACAGTCAGTAAGGCGGCAACGCCTGGTTACGAGGACTTCGAAGGATTGTGAAAGCAAGTTCTGCGTAGTGACTCTACTATTTCTGCACTCGCTGAGGCCATCAAAGTAGCAACGCTAAATGTTTGCGGTCTTAGCTCACGCAAGAAACAGTACCAAGCACAACGATTGCTATTTAAGGAGAGACCCGATTTTTTAGCTGTGCAAGAAACCAAGATGGCTGACGAGGAGCAGGTAGCCAACGCACTGAAACCGTTTTTTACTTACGTACGAGATTTGCGTTACCCATGCTGTCGGTTTTTCGGGAGGTTGTTTTTTGTACTTGAGGAAGCCCTTGCCCTTGTCAGAGCTGAGCGTCACGACTGACGAGGAAGGGCGTTTCATTTTAGGCGATTTTTATTTTGCAACACTTCACTGGCGGCTTATTTGTATATATGCCCCCAGCACGATGAAAAACTGGGTTTCATTTTTCTTTGACTTACGCCGTTTTGTGGAATACGGTAGGACCGTTGTGCTTGTAGGCGATTTTAACGGCGACGTGAGAGAATTGAATAGGGCGCCGTACCAGCGGCAAGCAGATAGATGTGTTCCCGTTTTGAGCGAGCTCCTCGAGGATTTTGATTTGGTAGATGCCGGAACCATGAGGAACGAAACGCCAAAGATTCGTTTCACACATTTCCAAGCAACGTCGAACCCGCGCTTAGATTGAGTGTACCTGTCGGCTTCAGTAGAAACCATGCTGCGGAAATACCGCGTCACGCCTGTTTTTTTTTTTTTTCTTTTTTGGACCATTGTTTGGTATGAACAACTATATGTGACAGGGCGCCAGCAAAGCTGTTCAACTGAAAGATTTGAAGACCTAACTTGAAGCTGCTGAGTGATGAAACGCTCTTAGAAGCAGTAGACAGCAGTTTCCAAATTTCTCGTGAACAAACGGGGGACGACGTTTTTGAGACGTGGGAACATCGCACACAAGAGTTTAAAATGACAGCTGTGGAAAGGTCGTCAATTTTAGCGTTTGAGGCTCGACGCTATGAAAGCAGCTTAAACGGCGACTTGGCAGTACTGTCGAGAGACGAGTGTGAGAACCCTGACGTTGGTCTTAAAGATTTGGAAGGAGCCAAGGAACGCTCAGACGAGCTGCACCGTGAACGTTACCGGGGTGCCGTAGTGCGAGCTCGCTCGGAAACGTATTTGTTAGGAGAGCAACCGACGAAGGCGCGTTTCGGCTGACGAGAAGACGTACGCGCTACGTAACGAGATTGGGGAAATCGAGTACCGGAGAGTCAGCAGCACGAGCCCAAGCATGATGGAAAAGCTTCGTCGAGCACAATCAGCAGCTCTTCGATAGCCAAGTCAAAGGAAGGAAGGACCCCGCCTGCGTGAGACTACTTGAGTCTCTTCCTCAGCTCGACCAAGAGGAGCAAGAAAGGCTCGAGGAGGCTATCACCACACGGGAGATAGAAAGGGCCATTGACGATCTGCCCAACTCAAAGATGCCGGGCCAAGATAGTTTAGGGGCGGAGTTTTTTTAAAAGTTCAAAAGCACTGTAGCCACATTTTTGTGGTGTCTGTTTTTCTGAAGCGTATAAACGTAAAATGCTACCACCCTCGTTCACACGACCGTACAGGGTTTTAATCTTGAAAAGTGATGCCGTCGATAAGCTGCGGAAAGTCACAGGTTACCGACATATAACGCTGTGTAACGTGTGCTACAAGATCTTCGCGAAAATCCTAGCACGACGTTTCCAGGGCGCTGCCCGTCAACTTATAGGTGAACACCAGACCTGTGGCATATGCAGGGCCGCTCTATAACGGCAAACATTCATGTGGCACATAGTTTTTTAGGGGCATGTGATGACGGCGTGGACCAAGTTGACATACTTCAGATTGATCTCGACAAAGCTTTCGATCGTGTTAAACACGACGTTCTTTTTGACGTTCTGGAGCGAATCCATATTGGTTCAGTTATCTTGGAGGGTGCCAAAATGGCTTACAAAGACTGTACGACGTGACTTATCGTCAACAAGGAGTTAACTGAAGCAATAATTGTGTTCGCTCCTCCGTCAGCAGGGATGCCCTTTATCGCCTTCAATTTTCAATTTATATTTGGAGCTTTTCTGTTTGAGCGTTCTGAACAGCGAACAGTGTCGGTTTTTTTGTTTTTAGTTTGGGCGGTGCTCAAGGGAAAGTTAGGAGTTACGCAAACGACGTTGCGTATTTTTTTTTTTGTAAGAATAAGCAGAACGTCAGTGCCGCTAT